AAAGGACATCAAACAATGATTTTTCGCTGTGACTTGAGTAAATATTTTGGTTTACCCAATTGGCCACGCAATTTTGTGTAGGTCTCGGGCTATTCACGCCCTCAATCCTACTGTTTTTCACTGCATGCTCATCATTTACTATTTACTACCCAATTTCATCCAATCAAATCTCAATGTATAAATTTTCAGTAAACTACTTCAAATGAAATATTTCATTTCGAAAAAAAATAAATTTTCTCACACCGAAATCGGAACGGTCAAGGCATTATCTGATGGTCCAAATACGGATTTGGATACTGCCCAAAACGGCAAGGTCGAAGTTGCTCACATTGAAGTTGTGATATTTCAATTAATGTATATTGGAAATGTAATTAGTAAAAAAAATATGTGTTTTAAGTATCGAATAGTTTGATTATTTGGAATTTTATTTATTTGTATGTGTTTCTCCACTTATTGATAATAATTGGATCAATCCACATGTTTTTATCGTTTATTTAGTACTCACCATTTTTCATAACTATAGTCTTGCTTGACGCGCCATGTGGATGCAAATATCGGCCCAAATATTATATCCGGGTATGAAAAAGCCCAAGTGATGATCCACATAGGCTAGTGGGTTCTAAGGCCCAAAAGTTGGTATGAAGAACAAGTGTTCTGAAAGAATATTAGGAGCTCGCTATACAGTGTACTTGACTTGAGCCTAAGGCGCTATAGGTGTATTAAACTACTAGTACAGAGCCCGTGCGATGCATGGGGTGCACAATTTTAAGGCTATTTATCCAGACTTATAATTATATACATGAATACAGAAAAATGTACGGGATATATACAGTACGTGACCCGTGCGAGGCACGTGATATATTTATTTGAGGAATACTATATTATAAGATGCAATATTCAATAAAAGTTTATAATACGCAGGAAAATCATACAATAAGATAGTATTCAACAAACAAACAATCATATATTATTAAAGATCACCTTGTACACAACATTATGAGTTTGATTTTCCATACAATAATAATAAGATTTTTTGTAAAAAGATAAGAAGGAATTTTCAATCTACACAAACTTTAAACATTAGATGTATTTACGTAAATCAATGACTATATAGACAACTAAACCCTTCAATTTAGGTTTGACATCTACTTTATTATGGGTGACGTAAAATAAAGATTTAATTTTGACCGATTAAATCTTTATTCATAGGCTTGACATATAAAATTGATTTGATGGGATTTTTTTAACTAAACCGATGCTATGGGATAAAACAAATCTATACTTACCTTTGACTTTTCCAGCAAAGGTAAAAAAATCGGTTCTGATTTTTATTCCATAACAAA